CTGCCTGCAGAAGCCGCATCGCATCGGGAAGACTGGGTGACTAAGGGAACAGAGTACCATTGTGCCCCTGTGCTTAGACTGAGAAGCTAACCAAGAAAGGGAAAAGCAGGTATTCAAGACAGAGTGGGAAGGGCGTCGAGCTACCTCCCCTCCTAACCCAGCTCTAACTAGCCTGTACAGCGCCTGCCTGCATTCTAAACAAAATCCTCTGAGTCACTTGCAACTCCTCGTGACCCCAGATCCCTCTGTTCCTATTCTCCGAAGAAAGCCGTTGGCCAAACAACAAAATTCTTTTAGTAGGTCTGTCCACCTCAGGACAGTCACCACACTCAGACCTTGGACCCCTCCAGCTATAAAACCTCACATAAAAAGAAATGACTTTGGCCTTAAAAGACAGAAGCACAGGGACTGATGGGTAATCTGGGCCCAACCATGCTAGCCATCTCTGACGTCACGTCGTTACATGAAGAAAATAGACACAGTTGAGGGGTTGATGAGACTTTATAGGTAGAAGGGGATTTTCTGGTGGGGAAACGGAGGCACTCAGAACCCCAAATTCCTTCAGACTGTCCAACGAGAAACTGTCCAAAAGCCTGCAAAAAGGCCCCCCTCAATGTCCTAGCCACCAATTTTGCCAACAGCCCCAGAGGGCACCTGCTATCAGCTTACCACCGTTTGATTCCGCCAACCAAATTCCCCACCTGGTTGTCTGCAGTTCACTGGGTAACTGTGGCAGCAGACCCCTCACCCAACCGTGGCATACGCAGGATATCTTTGTAACCACCACTCATTGCAGTGGTGTGTGACTTAGGAGGGGTGAGGGTGGGAGAGGCTTTGTTTCCTCCCATGATTTTACCTAAGGAGGGCGGGGGGGATGATAATGAACATCCTAAATTTAGCAAGGAAATGCATATTTGCCATTTTACATCAGAATTGACTTAGACTTGGCATCCTGGGGTCAGCTCAACTGCAGGTACAGTTTGGTCTCTGTCACCCACCAGCTGACCCCAGAGACTACAGGTGCTGAGAAAGGAATCTTTCAGCTGTGTTTATTTTTAAATACATTTTTTCTAGGTTTTTCCCACCCTTTAATCCATGTAGCAAGAAAAACAGCAAATGTTTGCAATTACCCCAATGTTAAATCTTCTCACACCACGGCCAGTTTTACCTCTTAGAAATCTTGATACAAACCAAACTGCAACTTTCCTCCCATGCAAATGGAAATTAATCCCTATTAAGCCTTCATCGCTAAACGCAGACAGTTTGGGTCCCTATTAAATGTGGGCAGTGGCAAAAAATGGGACCAACCAGAAACCGTCCCTCCTGTTTGTAGGACAGATGCTTAAGGGAACAGATGTCATGTTCTCGCTCACTTCTCCTTGTGAGCCCTTTAGCCTGCTCGGTCGCACCATCTTCTTTTGAACCACTAAGCCTTTGCAAGGTGACAAAATGTACCACCAAAGTCATGACACGCCCTTGAGTTAGTTTATTGTGCCAACCTGGACGAAAAACACATGTGGGATTAATTGAAGGGCGGTGGGATAAATGGCTGGGTGAGCCTCGCCTTTTGAGTTCTC